CACGTCGAGATCGTCAAGCTGCTGCTGGCCCAGCCGGGCTGTGACGCCACGCTCAGCGACAGTGTGAGTTGTGTACACCGAGAACTCTTTGTTGTTGTAATGTTGGAGCCACATTAGAGAAGAACTGCAGCTGCGTAGATGCTGATTGGCTGATCTAGACCAGTCTGTAGCTGCACACTTGGAATTCCCACTGGTGACGCAGAGAGCTGATGCAACTTTATTCTCTCCTCTTTAAACCACCGACAATATGGCACCGTGAACTATAAAGATGCACAAACAAATACCATCAAACATTTAAGTAGAAAGTGCAGAAATGTTCACATTTTACTATAGAAAATTATTTCGATTAACTCAAATAGTGACATTGACATAAATCAATAGTTTTAAACTATTTATGTTACAGCTTTTAATAAAATGAATTAACAACAACCTTTGTCTCTTAAATACATAAACAATCATTTGCATCATTAAACCAACTTTTTTCTGCTTCCAAGGGTGCGAATCATGCTGAACCAGCTAGCCAACCTCCTCCATGCTCATCTCTTAGCCAGTCTGTCCACACCACAAACAGATGACATGCATATACAATAAAAATTCAACCACACTGAGTAAACTTTCAGAGTTATAGCATGTGACAGATCAATAAAATACATAGTTTGCACGAGTATTTTCAAAAAATAAACGTTTTTACTCACTCTGAAGCAACGTGTTTGTGTCGTTTCACTGAGAACAGAACAGGAAGTCTGACACAATAAAAGAGGAAGTGCTGAGGTACTTTTCAAAATAAAAGCGCAAAGTAAAGTGGCTTTGCCGGCATTTACAGTCTGCCGTCCCGTTTTCATCTTCTTTGTTTTCTGTAATATTTTACTTCATTTTTGCATCATGCTGACTTATTTTGTTTGCTCCACCAGGATGAGAGTAGTGCTCTGTCCATAGCTCTGGAAGCGGGACACAAGGACATCGCAGTGCTGCTTTATGCTCACGTCAACTTCTCCAAAGCCCAGTCACCAGTGAGTCGTTATTTTAATGTTGCATCAAATCATGGAAGTTACACATTTCAGAACTTCCTAATAATCTGCTGTGTGTGTGTGTGTGTTTTAGGGAACGCCTCGACTCGGCAGAAAAACGTCCCCGAGTCCGACCCGGAGGGGCATGTTTGATTAAACCCAGCCTCTCCTCTGCCCACAAACCCTGCGCTGCTATTGGTTCTCATGCACGACGCCTTACCCATCGCTGGATTTACCCAACCAACCAATGAGATTTCTTTAATCTATGTGCACATTTGCCTCCACGACGAGCCCAAAGTGCCCTTTGAATATGAATGTAAGCAGCTGGTGCTTCACACCCACAGACTGTGGCTGAGAGTCACAAACTCTGGAGTTCAGACCAACCTTTAATCTAAAATATGCCTTTTTTTTTTTAAACTTGATGCTCAGTGTTGATCATAAAGAGCACCAAACCCTCGTCATTTGATTTTAATTTTAATTATGTTTGCGAGCGTCCGAGATGGAGCGCGATCCAGCCATCCTGTACATACCGCCGGCCTCGACATCCCGGTGTCACATCGGCGTGAGCTAAACTGGAGAAGTTTTACTTTTATACAAATGATTTGTATCTATTTAAAAAGAAGAATCACAGTATTTTGAATATTTCCTTTTACTACTTAACAATCCACGAGGTTATATATTTATCAGAGTATAGTTTTTAATGCAGAGATGTATTACGTTGTACATACGGTGGTCGTTTGACTCTAGTTCTCCTTTTTGTCCAGTTTCCTTCTGTGTAAAATAAGAAGTTCTCTAGTTTCCATCAAGGTACTGACTTTCATGCTCACGTGAGATTTGAAGTGCCTTCAACTTTACCATGTAACAATAAACCAATTAAAGAATCCAGACGTGTCGGGTTTGTTCTCACCGCTCGATGGGCACGTTTCTACACAACGGTTTCATACTGACCTGTGAACAAAACCGTGGTTCATGAGCAGCAGGGAGGTC